AATAGTATTTACAGTCTTCTAAACTCAATGAGCTTATATGCGTATAATACAATGATCAGAGATCGTATTTATGTGTGTATTGCTATGCAGGTACAGCTTAAAAGTCAGTATTGAACATAAATTATAGTTTCTATCATCATCAATCGCCCCTAGTTGACATCTTGAAAACAGCGTGCAACAAATACATGTCTCTGCTTGCCATGTGATTGCATAACCATTTGTCATTAAAAATGCAAAAAATTAACCCTCGAGTGCTGGTACATGTCCTAAGACCATCTCCAACCGGGCGTTATTTTGCCGCAAAAAGGGAAAATGCCGCTGATGACGAGCTCCAACCAGACGCCAAATCCCGCTGCATTTTAGCGGTGATGAACAGCGCGAAGCCATATTTAACGTCGCACTGTTCATCACCCCATTACTGTTTGTTTTTATTTTTTTATTTTTATTTTTTTTATTTTACCTTGTACTTTTATGTATTTACAATTTGACCCTAATTGTTTTATTAGATGTATAAAACAACTCCAATAATATTTAAATTTTATAATTTTACCACAATTGTTTAATTTGGACAAAATAAATTATTTTTTAAAAATAAAAAAATGCTAAAATTTAAAAGACATTTTTATTAATTATAACATTAAAATCTAGATATTAAGTAAAGTCCCGTGAAATATAAAGAGCAATCCTAATACATAATTCAAATATAAATTACATATCTGAAGTACATAACATATAAAAACTAACACGCATAATTTAAAATTTCATTAAAATAAAACATAAAATACAAACTAAACATGGAACATTTCCTGAGATGGACAAGCAACTCTCAATAATCTGGTAGATCGGCGCCAGAGTGTCCAATATCATTGAAATAATTGCCAAAATTAGAAGCAGAACATTGTTCTTGTTGATTTCTTTTTTGTATTATTTTAATCTGTTGAGCTCGAACGTACTCATGCACGTTTGGATCAGCAATGGAATTCAAATCTTTCATTATAATTTTCCATTCATCTCTATCTTTTTTCATGGCTATCTTTTCTCGTTCGATATCAAATGCTTCTTGCCTGTCCAAGCTCGCCTTGTCTAACCTGTCTATAAGTCGGTTGCTGGAGGTCTCGATGGAGTCCACTACACTTGACTCATGATCATCATTTTTCCTTTTCAATTTAGCTTTTTTTACCCCAATAGGTCGTTCAGATGGAGTAAATGATGACAGTCCAGGAGATGTTGATATAAGAGATTCGGAGTGGGATTATCTGATTGTGACGAGTCGAAGTTCACACTTTGGGATTGTCTTCGACTAACTTGTCTTGCTGTGGGGACATCATCTTTGAATTTTTCGAAATTTTTAACCATATTCCAGACATGATCAAATTTGAAACCTTTTTTGTACTTCGGTTCTTGCATAAATAACATCTTTGCTCGAACTAACTGTAAATTATAGTGAACATCAAGTTATGTATTTCAACAATAATAATAAAATTCAGACGATAATTAATAGAATACTTACAATATCTTCATCTGAAGCACCACTTGGATTCAGATTCTCTACTTGTCTCAAGCACGCATTCAATTTCCTTACTTCATTACTTATGATTTCCATTCGAGAACGTCGGCTCACACGCATCTCAAAATGCTGATCTCGAAGTTCATTGTATTTGTCCTCCACACGAGACCAAAATGCATCTCGAGACTGGTTTCTACCGATAATAGGGTCTTGAGAAATATCCAAGAATACTTGACAAAGGAGCACATCTTCAGTAACTGTGTATCCAGTTGATCGAACAGACATTTTTTTGTAAAAAGCGGTTGGTTTGGAGATCAGAAATACTTTGAAGAAATACTTCGAATTGGGTGGTTTGAAATAGAACTCGTGAATGTTATTTATAGCCAATCTAAATTTGTTTTTTTTGTTTGAATTTGAATTTGAATTTGAATTTGAATTTGAATTTGAATTTGAATTTGTCGGTGGTCAACATTTGAAATTGAATCATTTAGTACAAACTGATCAGCTTTACACATTATCCAACGTTGTCGGTGGGAATCAATTTTTGAAATCAGGTCAGCTTTACACATTGTCCAACATATACACAGCTCAGCTCTCCTTGAATTGTGTGAAAGCTTTGTACGAGTGGGAATCAATTTTTGAAATCAGGTCAGCTTTACACATTGTCCAACGTATACACAGCTCAGCTCTCCTTGAATTGTGTGAAAGCTTTGTACGAGTGGGAATCAATTTTTGAAATCAGTCAGCTTTACACATTGTCCAACGTATACACAGCTCAGCTCTCCTTGAATTGTGTGAAAGCTTTGTACGAGTGGGAATCAATTTTTGAAATCAGGTCAGCTTTACACATTGTCCAACGTATACACAGCTCAGCTCTCCTTGAATTGTGTGAAAGCTTTGTACGAGTGGGAATCAATTTTTGAAATCAGGTCAGCTTTACACATTGTCCAACATATACAGCTAAAAGCAAATTTGAATTTTGTGACAAATTGATAACAGCTAGAAAGCATTTCCTAAAATCAGCTCAACTTTACACATTGTTCAATGTATACAGCTAAGCAAAGTTTTATAAATAGCATACTAGATTAGGTACATCCACACAATTACTCGCTGTTGTGTTAAAATTATTATTCTCCATTTCTGCATACTTCAGTCTTTCTTTTCTTACTTCAAAAATGAATTTCGATGTTGGAGGTCCATCATACTTATCATCATCTTCATCTTCGGATGATGATAATTTTCTGCCCAATATCATTGCAGAGATTGATGAAACCGAAGAAGTAATTTGTGAGTACATCAACAACAACATGATCCTCGTTAACAATTTACGTCAACACAACTACCAACCGATCCATGGTGGCTCGATTCCCGGTCATGCAGTGATCAACCGCGATCGAGAAAATGCGCATCAGAATTTGGTCATAGATTACTTTGCCGATAATCCACGTTTTGGAGAAGATATGTTTCGTCGTCGATATCGGATGTCAAGAAGTTTGTTCCTTCGTATTGTTGATGCAGTGAAAGATCATGACTATTACTTCCAACAACGAAGTGATGGACTTGGTAGAATGGGATTATCACCGTTACAGAAAGTAACAGCTGTTTTTCGCATGTTGGCATACGGTCTACCAGCTGATGCTACGGACGAATACGTTAAAATAGGTGAGTCAACAGCAATTGAAAGTATGACAAAATTTTGTCGTGCTATGGTGGAAATATTCCCAGAGCGGTATCTACGAACACCTAACGCTAATGATATTGCTAGGCTACTCTATATTGGAAAAAAACGTGGTTTTCCAGGAATGTTAGGAAGTCTTGATTGTATGCATTGGAAATGGAAAAATTGTCCAACAGCATGGTCTGGGCAATACACAGGACGTAGTGGGTCACCAACTATTATCCTCGAAGCTGTGGCAGAGTATGATCTTTGGATATGGCACGCATATTTTGGTATGCCAGGCACCAATAATGATATTAATGTGTTGGAGTCATCTAATCTTTTCTCTAACCTAGCTCAAGGTATTGCTCCTCCCGCTCACTATGTTATTCAAGGAAAAGAGTATAATATGGGTTATTATTTAGCTGATGGTATATATCCAAAATGAGCTACTATTGTACAAACAATCCAACAGCCACAAGGTAGGAAGAAAAAATATTTTGCCATGAAACAGGAAGCATGTAGAAAAGATGTAGAACGTGCGTTCGGAGTTCTCCAATCACGATTTGCAATTGTGGCAGGATCAACACGTTTTTGGAAAAAACATGTATTACATGACATAATGACTGCATGCATTATTATGCACAATATGATAATCGAGGATGAACGTGATCTTTATGCACCAATTCAAGAAGTGAGGGAAGCACCAACACCAGAAGTTGATATGGTAGCAGATGAAACTACAAGATTTACTCAATTTATTGCACGTTACCGAAAAATCAAGGATAAAGATGCCCATATTGCGCTTCGTAATGCATTGATAGATCATCTATGGGAGGAATACACTAATTCAGATAGTTAAGTGCATACTAAATTTGTAATTTTTACATTGTTGTTAATGTTTAATTATTTTCTTGTATTTTATTTTCTGTTGTGTTCTTGAATGTAATATTTTGGTAATATTAATAATAAAAATATATTATTTTAGCAATCAAGTTATTTTAATTAATAAAACAATATTTTATTGTTTTATTAGTTTAATTTTTTAAATAATAATTCACTTTGTTTGGAAAATATGTGAAAAAATAAAATTTGATATGTGAGGTTAATTATTGAAATAGTTAAAAATATAGGGAATAAAAAATAATCATATAAAAGTAGATAAATAGAAAGATACTGAGAATATTCCTTTTTGGTGCAAAAAATGGTGCAATGAGTTGGAGATGATTTACTGTTAGATGTGACTTTTGCACCATTTTGGTGCAAAATTTACACCATTTTGGTGCGATGGGTTGGAGATGCCCTAATAATCAGTATGAACAGTATAAGAGTTTTATTACACTAAACAACTCCACCTTCCTCATTAATATACGCTCAATGCCACCATCTCTAATGGAAAAAATCATCAATAAATTAGAGCAACCCAGCACAGATAATTCGTAACTGATCTTGGATATACAAAACCCACTTTGCTCAGAGTCTGCATACAACTCTAATTCATTGTCTGAAATTTCATTTATACTCACTCCCCTCTCCAATTGCAAGGCAACTGCATACAACTCTAATTCATTGTCTGAAATTTCATTTATACTCACTCCCCTCTCCAATTGCAAGGCAATAAACACTAAAATAGAAAGGTACGGCAAACAAATATGTAAATACTCAGACTGAAAGGTTGATAAACAAGCATCAGATGTTCACATTGTGTACCATAACCAGAAAAGGGACCGAATTTTTCTTGAAAATAACAAAAGAAAATACCATAAAATACCATTTCAAAGAACCCAAACCCAAGATGGAATAAAAGAGCAAACAAATTAATCAAGAATTAATTACCTCGATGTGGCACAGAACTTATGAGAGAGAGAGAGAGAGAGAGAGAGAAAGAGAGAGAGAGAGAAGAAAATGGGAGATGGGTTTTTTTATCAGAGCCCAAAAAAGAAAGGGAGTGTCTACAGCCACAAGCAGTGGATTTGTGGAAGAGAACAAATTTGAGGAGTGAGGGAGTGAAAACCCTAAACACTCACCTGTACTCTTCAAGGAACCGGTCGTCGTCAAGATCAGGATCGTCCTCGAGGTCCTCGAGCTCGTCAAGGTTGGGATCGTCAGAGGGAGTGAAGGGTGGAGGTTTGAAAGGGGAGGGGCGGCGGCGGGGGGGGGGGGGGGATTCGGACGGAAGGGAGGGGACTGCCAGCAGGTGGGAACAAGAGGCGGGAGTGGCAGGATTCGGTGAGTGTGGAGGTTTGAAGGGAGGGGCGCAGGATCGGTGGGAGGTCAGGAGGTGGAGGGGGGATGAGAAGGGGGGGTTTGGAGAGAGGAGAGAGGGTTTGGCCGTTTTGGGGGGGGGTTAGATGGAGAGGGGAGAAAAAAAGAGGGGGAAATGAAAAATAGGCGGGGAAATGAAAAAAAGAGGGGAAGCTGGTTAAATTTTTTAAGACAATCTAGACGGAATTTCCGTCTAGGTTGACTCAACCTAGACGGAATTTCCGTTTAGATTGAGTGTTTATTTAAAAAAAAAATAAAAAACCCTCTAGTTTGTCAATCTAGACGGAAATTTCTGTCTAGATTGACTCAAACTAGACGGAACAAACTAGACAAAATTTTTTTCGTCTAGTTTGAGGCGATTGACTCAAACTAGACGGAACAAACTAGACGAAATTTTTTCCGTCCGTCTAGTTTGCCTCAAACTAGACGGAAAAAATTCCGTCTAGTTTGTTCCGTCTAGTTTGTTCATTTTCCTACTAGTGACTATTGTATTTCATATCAATCTTATTGCTAGTTCTTATTGAGTTAAGTTTTTATTGAATCTCATTGTTACACACACCCACATGAGCTTATTGTATTTGCATACATAATATAATAGGGTTGTGAGAGATTGTAATATTGAGTTGTGCTTAATTGAGTTCTCATCTATTGTAGAGAACAAATTTATATTTGTTACATTGTGAGATTGTAAGGTTTTCGGTGAGCTAGAAAACCGAGTGTGTGGTGAAGTTTTCGGTGAACTAGAAAACCGAGTGTGAGGAGTGAACGTTGTTTGGTGAGCGTTAAAAACCGACACTGTGAGGTGTAAACGTTATTCGGGTGAACATAGAAAACCCGGTTGTGATAGTGGATTTCTCCCCGGGAGTGGGGAGCGGAGACGTAGGACGGAAGGTCCGAACTCCGTGATCATATTGTGTGTTTGAATGTGCTTTGGCGTTTATTCTTATTTGTGCTCATTGCTCATTTCGCCATTGTCTCATTATTTATATGATCCACTATCTAGTTCATATTGTTTACCCCTTGTGTTAGTTTTCATATCATTGCATATATCATATTGTATATCTCTTTGATAGGATATATCATCTTGTGTTAGTTTATATATCCTTGCATATTTATATTTCATCATATAGGATATATCTCATTATTCATATTGCTTATCCTAGCTTATATAGTTGTTATATTTCATACTTGCTAGGATAACTTTTTAATTAATTTTTATTGGCATTTAATCGGATTAGATTAGCATAAGACCCTAATCACCCCCCTCTAGGGTCTAACAATTGGTATCAGAGCTTGGTGCTCTTTGATTTAAGGTCTAATCGCCTTGAGAACACTAAAAGAGGCATATCACTTTAGGATTAAATAGTGTTTAAATAGTTTTCCTTCAATATCAGAACTAGGGGGATTTTGATAGCTTGAAATGAGAGCGGTTGTGACTATAGTTGGATGCAACTAAATAAAGTTTATATAATTGTATGAATTTGTTTCGTTGCAACTCACTATTGCAGTTGCAAATTGCAACCAGAGTCAACAAAAAACTCTAAGTTGAAGCATATAACTTACATAAAAAAAATGATCAAAGTCCTTTTCTTTAAAAATATCTTTTAATATTTGTAAAAAACTTATTTTCCAAAAGTAAAATTATTTTAAAATATGTTCTTCCAAAATTTATGTTTTTCATAAATTACAAAAAGTTTTTATATTTAAAACAATATTTATTGATAACTTTACTTTAAAATTTTTAATTTTTAAGAATACAATTTTTGAGAAAATATTATTGTCTAATATCTGTAGGGTCTGAAAAATAAATGATTAGTTCCTTTAACTGTATTAGCTTTGGAAAAAGACTCTATCGCTTGGTAAGAGTCGCTTTGTACAATCACTCTTAATAGATTACAGAAGAGGAGAAGATTGGTTCGACTTCTCATTTGTTTAATGTGGGTTCTGGATGGTGGAAGGATGTCTCACTTGATGCTTGAGTCGAGTTTGCTTCCCGTTAACGAACAAAACAAGATCACTTGGTCGGATACTTGGGCCGCTGTCGATAACTGCTACTGATTCTTAACCGCAAGAACCTAGGTTTGGATTTCCAAGCTCGAGTGCAAAAGCTCTGTCGAGACGTGGCCAAAAGTCCCGTCTTCATAGCTGCTCATGGCTCTTTATAGGCCTTAGCGCGTAACTGTTGCACTGAAATCGTGGAGTCATGGCGTAATTGACTTCATGGATTTAGCCCACGTGGGTTGACTGGGTCTTCAAGACCGTTACAGTCGAGCTTCATGCGATATGATGAGTCTCACTGCATAGCGAAGCTCGTCTGATGAGACGAGCCTCGATGCGCAGCGAGGTTCATTTAACAGAACGAACTTTGCTATGTGGCGAGCTTTGTCTTTTGAAAAAGCTTCGTCTTCACTGACGAGCTTCATCCTTGATGGCTGAGTCTAATTGCGTAACGAGCTTTGTGGACTTCTTCTGACGAACTTCATCTTCACTAACGAGCTTCGTCTTTAACAATGAGTTTTGTCTTCACTGACGAGCTTGAGTTTCATCTTCATTGATGAGCTTGAGTTTTGTCTTCATTGACGAGCTTCGGACTTTGTCTTTAATGACAAGCTTTGTTGTTTGGGATGAGGTTCATCATAATAATGACCCTCATCATGATTTGCTATGAGCTTCAATGCTCTTTTGTTTCTTGGCATTTTTAGTGCCTACAAAACCCTCTTTAAAGTTTTCAGAACTGAATTGGGTTGTATGAGGTCTGAAATACTTTGAATCATTTTGATTATCACGAGCCTGGTTCACATGACGAACTTGATCCCTTGGCTAGCTTCAACGCTTTAGAATGAACCTCATGGCTCATTGTTACTTCATGAGCTTTGATGCTTCGAGAGGATGCTCGACTATTTGTTGAGTCTTGCCACTCTGTATAAGCCCCATCAGGCCCACGCGGAACTGACGCTTAGGCCTCATCAGCATTAAATGTTGTGTGCCTCCATCATCGCGCCTTTTCCAGGCCCAATAAGCGTCTGTCGGCTAGTGCCCAGAGATCTTGTCCGTTGATTTTGTCCGTAAATCTCATCCACAGCAAACCTCGTTTGCAGATCTCGGCCGCAGATCTCGGTCATTGATTCGATTTTTCTCGCCTATAAATAGGCCGCTGCCTTTGACGAAATCGTTGTCTTTTTCAAGTTTCAAAAGTTTTGGCGCTTTGTCTGCACCAAATTTTCACCTTCAATTTTTTCTTTGTCTTCTTTAAGATTTCAAATCCATGGCCCCAAAAACCATCGTCGGCAAAGGGAAAGGCAAGAAAGCCACTAGCTCTTCAAGAGAGGCCGCCTCCTTACCTGTTTTCTCAGATAGTGCACTCGAACGCAAGTTTTGCATTTTAGAACTGTCGAACTCTGTCTATTTTAGGCTTGAGGCTTCGAGGGAGATGAACAATTTCCCCTTTTTGAGACGAAGCTCGTCTGACGAATGAGATTCGTCTGTTAGGCGAGGCTCGTCGATCTGATGAGTCTTATCTTTTCTAACGGGGCTCGTCTATTAGATGAGGTTCGTTTGTCAAATGAAGTTGGTCTGTGTTGGTTGGGAAAATTTAAAGAAAAATTGAGAAAATGAATTTATAGTATTCTCTCTAACAGGCTTAGAAAAATAATTAATTATAATTCTCTCAATGCAATCTCTCTCTAACAAACTTAGAAAAAGAAATCACAATCTTCTTGTATCGGATTATCGATTTACAAAAGAGAAAAAGATCGACGGAGATCCTTCCCTTTGTTTAAACCTGGATTGTTCTTGGTGTCGATGGAATGCCTTCCTCGAATGCTTGTATCGAGTTTGCTTTTTGTTGACGATCCGAATGTTTCACCTTGTGGAAAACGATTCCTACCTCTTGATTGATGTCGAGGAGAACTTGCGTGGTAAGTTTGAATAGAACTCTTAATGAGTTTGATAACTCAGAGCGAGTTTAAAACTCTGCAAAAGAGTTAATTTGAACCGAAAATCGGTTTTAAAGCCAAGTACCAAAACTCCTTGTTCCTAAAGAATTCTCTCAGTTGCAGAATGCCAAACTTTTTCTTTAGAATTCCGACCAGGAAAGGATCTCTAGAAATTCCAGAAAAAGCCAATCTCAATTCTCTAGAAATTCCCCTCCAAAGAACCAGGTTTCAATTAAGCTGAAATATCAGCTATTTATAGGAGATTAAGGGGTGTAACCGTCCCCTTGATTTGCTCCTTAGTGAGGGTTTCTTGGGGTGTAACTGCCCCTTTAAATCTCTCCTTAATGAGGGTTTATGAGGTGTAACCGGCCCCATTAAGTGGGAAAACGGTTTTGAAACCGTTCAGGTTCTGGTTGAACCAGTCAAACGCACAATTCGTGTTTTGGAATGAACTCTGCGTCTTGATCCTGGGATGCAGAGTTGGGTTCTGTGTTTTGGGCTGAAAATGCAGCAATGAAAGCTGTATTTGGATCTGGAACGTAGCGATGAACCCTGCGTATTGGGCTGAAAACACAGCATTGAAAGCTGCGTTTGGATCTGGAACGCAACGATGAACCCTGGATTTTGGGCTAAAAACTCAGCAATAAAAGCTGCGTTTGGATCTGAAACGCAGTGATGATCCCTGTGTTTTAGGCTGAAAATACAATAATGAGCTCCACGTTTGGAACTGAAACGCAACGATGAACCCTACGTTTTGTTGTTGGGATGCAGAGATGAACTCTACGTTTTGACTCTGGAACACAGAGGCGAGCCTCAGGCGAGCCTCAGGCGAGCTTGGAGAGCTTTAGGTGAAGTACAATGTTTAGGCGAAGTTCAGTCTTACAGACGGGCTTCAGAACATAACTTGCTATGAAGAACATGTTATAACTTTCAAAC